GTAATAAATCTCATCTCTTGAAACCCTTTAACTGTTTTTGTTGCCATGTTCTCGTTTTAATAACCTGTGTCCAAATCAGTGATTTTCAAATTTTAGTGTATTCATAAGTATTACATTAGGTGCTTGTTCAAAATACAGATTCCTGGGCCCTCACTTCAGACCTAGTGAGTTCAATCCTATGGAGAATTCTTATGCAGGTGGTCTTTGAGCCAGATGGAGACAGTTACCTACCACATGCATTCTCACTGTCATCTACATTCTGTTCCTCATATTGTTAGTCTTTTCACTTTGTTTCAGTTATTCACATCTCAAGTTTTTTCCTACTAATAATTATCGATATCCTTAGTTTTTCTCCTAAAATCACTGACTGAAGAACTCATCCATTAGACCTCCAGGAGACTGTCCCACATTCCCTCCTTGTTAGTCAGAATTTATCTTCCCCCCCTTCCCAAAGCACACATTTATAGTTCAGTATATACAGTGTGTGTATATATACACACACACACACACACAAATACATGGCACACATATTTCTAATATACCTTGCTAGTGATTTTCAAATGTGTTTTTCTCACTGGGGAAAGAGTTGTATCTCTTTACTTTTAATCTTTCCTGGCAGTGTGATACATCGTAGGCATCCATATGTTTGCATTGAATCTTGACTGCTATAACTTGGTTGCTACTGACTCTGAAACTGTCAATCTACTAAAGATGATAGGTTATCATCCTTATAGCTCTAATTCTTGTACACCATTTCCCTTTCTCTAAATTATCAGTATTTCCTTGGTGCTGTCTTAAGAATAATTCTCTCAGATTACATTGGTCTTGAAGCCTGTTGGCTTTCCTGAAAAAAAAGTTTTTAGTAACTCCCATTCCCATATGGACTATGTAGTTCAACTCCTTATTTAAATGAATTTTCCTAAAATTCCACTTTGTGGTACCACATAGTAAAAATCAAGTAAAAATCCATATCATACACTTCAAATGCAGACTCAAGCTGTGCGAGGGCTCTTGATCTTCAACAACCTTTATAATAACCACAACACACCAGCATTTACTTTTTTAAAGAGTACAAAAGGATACACAAATATGACGATTACCTCTTGAAGGGGTGGGATCGTCAAAGGAGGAACATTAGAGTTTTATTTGTAATATGAATTGTCTGTTCAAATCTTTTGCCCATTTTTAAAAATTGAGTGGTGGTTTTCTTAGGGTTGAATTTTGAGAATTCTTTATACATGTCCTTTTATCAGATGTGTGATTTGCAAATATTTTTCCCTAAAATTTTGTCTTTTCATTCTCTTATTGTTATTAGGGGAGCAGAAGCTGTTAATTTTGGTGAAATTCAGTTTGTCAGGTTTTTTTTTTTTCATTTATGTATCATGCTTTTGGTATATTATCTTAGAAGTCTTTTTTTAAACCAGTCAGAGATCTTCTGTTTTCCTCTAGAAGTCTGAGTTTGAGGTACATTTTGGCTTATCGCTTTGAGTTAATTTCTGTAAATGGTAACAGGGTATGGTTTGGTTTTTGGGTGGTGTTGGTTTCTTTTGCATATGGATTTCCAGTTGTTCCAGCACCATTTGTAAAAAGGCACTATCCTTCTCCATTGATTTGCCTTTTCGCTTTTGTCAACTGACCGTATTTGTCAGTCTTAATCTTTAGACTCCATTCTATTCCATTAACAGTATGTCTAATACATTAACTTTATAGTAAGTTTTGAAATCAAGTGGCATGGGTCTTCTTTTTCTTTTTCAAAATTGTTTTGGCTATTGTAATTCCTTTTCTCATATAAATTTTAGAAACAGCTTGTTGATTTCTTACCACCATCCCCCATCCCCCACAAGAGAGCCTCTTGCAGATTCGGTTGGGTTTACACTGAATTTATAAATCAGTTTAGGGAGAACTGACAACAATACTGAGTCTTCTGATGAGTTTGTTTATTTAGTTCATTTTCTCTCACCAGCATTTTGTAATTTTCAGCGTAAAATCTTGCACAAATTTAATTTTATACCTAAGTATTCCTGTTTTCTATGCCATCTTAAATGGTATATAATCCTCATTTTATAGATGAGGAAATTAAGTAACTTGCCTAAGGTGACACAATTGTTAAATGACCATGCCACTTTGAAAGTTACATGAGCTTATAAACCACTATCCTGGTTTTAATTATGATGCTAATTTTCTTATTCTGAAATTGTTATGGTTACAATGGTGGCAGAGAGGAAAACTTCTTTTAACAAGTAAAATCCCATTACCATGCTCCTATAAAAGAACTGATCCCCAAAGTTTATTTTCTGAGCTTGGGTTTTCCAGATCTGTTCAAATCATAAACCACCTAGAAGCCTGTGATCAATACATTTTTGAACCAGTGTTTTTAAATAGTATACGTTATCTGGCAGTTAACTAGTATGAATTATTTCAGTAAAAAAAATGTGTGCCTTTTAGCATTTGAATGCCTACTGAGTGTTCACCAGTGGAGATACAAAGACATGATTTCTTTTCTTGAAAAACTCCCATCTGGGGGCAAAGGGGAATACACTTTTATAGTAAACACTATAATAGATGCATACACAAGGTGAGTGGTAGAACAAGAGCTTTACTTAGTTGGGGTTAAGAGTAGCTGCACTTTTACTCATTTCATGTTTTGGAGTTTCCTTTAAAAAAATTAGTTTGACAACTATTAAGTGGGAAACATGTAAAGAGCTTTGAGAGGGAGAAATCTGACAATCATTTCAGAAGGCTTTCTTTGGCAGGTGGTGAGAGTCTTGAGGAAAAACCAGTTAAGAAATAGCCTAGGCATGGCAGATACAATATGGATATGATAGAGTGCAGGAAAGTCTGGTTTCCATTTCCAAATATAAAGAATTCATAAGTTAGAGAAACAGTATTAGGATTGAGTGTTTTACATTAAGACTTGATTTTCATTTATGGATTTCTTCTGGTTTCTTAATAGCATTTTGATAAATGGATATTTTTACAAAATGAGAAAAAAATAATTCATTTGTAATCTTAATTTGAAGAGTATTTTAAAGTTTCAATCAGTTAAACATATTGATGACCTACAATTTGATTTTTCTCAGTTATTTTTCAGGTCCCTTTATGAATGATGGAAATAAAAGGGAAATGGATAATCTAATCAGATAAGTGATTTTTTTTTATAGTATAAATATATTATTTGTGATCTCTAAACCAAAACTTTGTTCTTTAAAACATTTTTACTTTTTTTTTTAGGTGCCAGTATCAAGAAGGTTTACAGTAATAAGGTACTCAGTCTTTTCTGAAAATAAATTTGTAGTCAAAGTAAAATGTACCAGCTTGTTTTTTTTCTCAGAGGCTAATCATATCTCAACAGTGCATTTACAGAGTGCCCCTACAATTAAACCTAGATTATTTATTAATCCTGTATTAAATCAATTGCTTTTCTTTCATAATAGCCACAGACCTAGGTGAATCTGCTTAAATAGTTTTAGATTTATCTGATGTTATGGCATCTTTAGTAGTTACCAGGTGGCTTAGTTGCTGAAATTTAGGTTTCTTTAGAACCAATGTCTGTTCTTTTAAAGAAGATTCTTAGCTATACTGATGTGAATTAAGAACAGATCTACTGGGCCGGCTCCGTGGCTTAGCGGTTAAGTGCGCGCGCTCCGCTGCTGGCGGCCTAGGTTCAGATCCCAGGCGCGCAACGATGCACTGCTTCTCCAGCCATGCTGAGGCCGCATCCCACATACAGCAACTAGAAGGATGTGCAGCTATGACATACAACTATCTACTGGCGCTTTGGGGGGAAAAATAAAAATACATGAATTAAAAACAAAACAAATCTACTCACAGCACAATAAGAATAGAAGATTCATGTGTCATTCATACATTGGAAATTTGGAAAAGTATAGAATGGCTATAAATTGGCTTAGGGATAGTTTATTAATTATCTGTGTACAGATATATCCAATTTAATATTGTTTAGGTGTTTGTCCAAGGCCAGCACTGGTGTCATGGGTTGTAAAATATAGCAGGTAATTTTGCATAAAAGGTGACATGGTAATGAAATACTGGTTTTGAGTTGTTTGTATAGTAGTTAACTATTCACATATAATGATTTGCTATTTAAACCACAGAGATGCTCAAAGTCCAACAACACCCTACTGCTAAACTCATTAACTAGATTACCTTTTTAGGAAAGCATGACAGTTGAATGAGTGCTACTGGCACGAGCCCAAGAAAGGGTGTGTGTACCTGGCATACTTGGGCTGAGGTCAGATTGTTTCTTCCTGCTGTGAGTGCTATTGGTCAGGTTATGACATTTGTTCTTAACAGGCCACAATACTGATTATTCCACTCAGTTCTGTTTACGGAGCACCTCCACATATATTCTGATTTTTTTTTTTTAGCATAAAATATGGGTATTTTTATTTGAACTTCACAGATCAAGAAATTTTTTAAGTGACAGAATAGGGAGTTTGTGAATCCTTTTAAATCCACTCCTCACCACAATAAAAGAAGAAAAAAAAAAGTTCTTGACTCTCCAACCTGAAACATCTTTCTTGTGTATCATACCTAAAAGTTAACAGTGGCAGACAGCCAACATTTCACTGAATACAAAAGTGGGCAGTGGCATCAATTAATTGCCTACTAAGTTGGTAGGTACTTTTTACACAACAGCCCAAGAGGATATGGTCTTTAGAATCTAGATGAGTAATGGAATGGAGCTTTGAATTAATTTGATTCAAAAACTCTTTTTGCAGTATTTTAACTAAGGAATTTTTTTTTTTTTTTGGTGAGGAGATAAGCCCTGTGCTAACATCCGCCCATCCTCCTCTTTCGCTGAGAAAGACTGGCCCTGGGCTAACGTCCGTGCCCCTCTTCCTCCACTTTATATGGGACGCCGCCACAGCATGGCTCGCCAAGCAGTGTGTCAGTGCATGCCCGGGATCCAAACTGGCGAACCCTGGGCTGCCGCAGCGGAGCGTGTGCACTTAACCTCTCGTGCCACCGGGCCAGCCCTTAACTAAGGAATTTTCAAATAGGCATAAATCTGCATCTTACTTTATTTAATTAATTAATTTATTTATTGTAAGGAAGATCAGCCCTGAGTTAACATCCATGCCAATCCTCCTCTTTTTGCTGAGGAAGAGTGGCCCTGGGCTAACATGTGTGCCCATCTTCCTCCACTTTATATGGGACGCTGCCACAGCCTGGCCTGACAAGCGGTGCGTCGGTGCGCGCCCAGGATCCGAACCTGAGTTGCCAGCAGCGGAGCACGAGCACTTAATCACTAAGCCACAGGGCCGGCCCCTATGTTTTAATACTGAGTAAATATGTGCTCAGTTACCCCCACCAATTTTGTCAAGCAGATATTAACCAAACTTCCATTGTTACAAGACAAAAATTTAATGAAAATTGGTCAGTATGTAATAATCCACAGGGCTACATAGTTACATGGGACTGTATTAGAAATTTAAAATAAATGCTGAAGTAAATGTTACATATTATCATCATCTGACTCATCTTCTTCCTTCAAAGATTCCTGTTAAGAGAAAAATAGTGTTTAAAATCAGTTTTTAATATTATAACAATCTGAATCTAACTAAGCACTTGTCATTAAAAACTCTTTGTAATTGAACAGTGAACACTGGTTTAGAATAAGACACCTGAGTAAATAAAAGGAAAACTAGGTGTATCTTGCTCTAACAATCAATGGCTATATTCTTGATAGAATACACACAATATGAAAGCATTAAATGTCCTGAAAAACCCTTGCCATTTTCACACACAAAAATTTCTGCAACCAGGGCAACTTTATCCCCATTGAGAGTAACCTAGAAAATCTCTATCTTTAGTTCAGCTCAACTCTTAAGTGTTATTTAATAGAAATCAACCAAGTTCCTTTATTACTCAACACTTATTTCCATGATACCTTCAGCTAGAGTTTTCATGCTGTGGCTTACCTTAGCATATTTCTCTGCCTCTTCCCTTATATCTTTTGGAACAATTTCATGTCTTCCTTTAGTTACTGTAAATTAAGCCATATATTTATACATGAGTTAAAAATGATGACTATATTATGATTTCCAATACCATACAATCTATCCTTCCACAGATATGATCCATCTAATGTTGTAAAGTTGTACTATGAATAATACTAGATGCTTTGAATTTATCTTTGTGTGTTTTATCCACATCAGAGATTAAATCTGCCCAAATTTAGCTCTTATGGAAATGAAGAATAAATAATGCTATGATTTATCCTGATGCTTTGATAAATCCTGAACATTCATTAATATACAGCATGATTAGATTAATTTAAAGGGGGAGGAAAAAAAAGCTGGCCTTGAAGCCCTGTGCTTACCATGCTAGAAAGAAAAAAATGGGTGATTTTTCAGTAATATTTTTTAAAAATATGAAATGGATGTTTCAAAAAAGTGAATAAACTATTCACAACTTGAGTCAATTATTAAGGAGAACTTGCCCTTCAAAAAGACTACCTGGTAAATTTGTTCTGGCTTTGTATTAGAAAGGCACCCAACTGTTCAGAACACTCTGGCAATACCTACTGCAGTGGAACACAGGAACATTTCATGACGCAGCAATTCCACTCTTACATTTATTTCCAACAGAAATGCTACATATGTGTACCAAAATAATTGTATAAGATGTCTACAGCTGCATTATTCATTAAAAAAAACAACAACACTGGAAAGAGCCCAACTGTCCAGCAGCAGAAAAGGAGATGAATAAACTGGTATATTCAGACAACAGAACACAACACAGCAAGGCAAATGAACTACTACTATATATAACAACACAAATGATGTACACAAATAGAATGTTGAAGAAGAAGTCAGGGACAAAGGAATACGTATTGTATAATTCCATTTATATAAAATTCAACAACAGGCAAAAACTGTCTCCGGTGTTAGAATTCAGGATAGTGGTTACCTTTCAGGAAAAGGAAGGACTGATTTCAGGGAGGCCCAACAGGTGATCTGGGGGGCTGGTCTATTTGTTGACCAAAGCAGTGGTTACATGAGTGAATCCATCATTTGTTATTTGTGTACTTTTTCTATATGTTTTCATCATTACAAATTATTTTAAAAACAAAAAAAAAAAAATGCAGCCAGTGGAACCCTAGGTTTGGTACAGATGACTCCAAGAGCAAATAAATGTACGAAAATAACTTACTTTCACCAACCCAGCTGAGCTCTAGTTCAAAAGCTTTATCCTTAACTTCATCGTGTACTATGTAAATTCTAGAACAGAAAAGGGAAAATTAACATTTGGCTATCTGCAAACACTGCTGTTCGCATACCCAGTGAGCAAATTAGAACATCCATCCCTAATATAAGTATTTATAAAATTATACATAGACACATTATACATAATCTATATTATTATGAACACTAGAAAAGACAACAAATTACAAAAGGTCTGATATAAAATTTAACACTAACCCAAGTTGTTTATTTTGATACATTGTTTTAGACACATAACTAAAAACGATACCTCCTAAGGAACATAGATTCATATGGGAAAAGGCCATCATTACCTGTATCTTTTCAGGATATTTGTTTTTTTCTGTTCATTAACTGATTATTTTTAAAAGAAACTAATTTATTAGTTTGCAATTATTAGTGGTCTCTTCAATCTACAGCTTCGTGGCAGGAATCTCTTTAAACCCCTTGTCCATTTTATAAGAATTGTATGCCCCTTAACCTGGCCTTCAAACTACAACACATGACAAACTGCAGCAAACAAGGAAGCATTGTCACACAAGATACTAAAGTAAAAGTATCCAAAAATTAAGTATCAGAGCATAAGCTTTCTTATTTTATACTTTCCACTGTCTTAGACACCTTACTTTGGAGGGTATTCCTAAAGCCTTGCTATAATATGAGAAAGCATCTTAATTTTCTAGAACTAAGTAAAGGTACACAGTGCTCCATTTTATTAAATGATGAAAGGATGGCTTTCCTACATGGAACTAATTAATGTCTACTGTTATACCTAAACACAGAAGGTGTGGTAAGGGCTGATTTCCAGAAGCACTTCTCAGTAAAGGAAATTGAGTTTATCATGTTAAACTGTTATACAGCTCAATGAGGATTTTTTTATACTTTCTTTTTAAGCAGTTCTATTTTATGGTCCGTGTGTTCCTCATGTTGTTATTAACTGACCATCACAGAATGGACTCTGCTTCTTTACAACTGGAAAAGGGAAGGGTCTCATGGTAAAAGGGGGGTGGGGGAGTGGCAGTAGCAGGAGTGATGGACAATTAGGATAAAATTATAAAACACGAGATTTTAATATTTTATTAGTTAAAACTCAGTTTAGAAGAGATTAAGGGTACCATTTAAGTAGTGTATTATATAATACAGCCCTTAGGACTTTTTTCTTTGCATGTATTATTAGTTGTAAAACCTGAGAGTTGCACAAAGAGCTGACTAGACTGTGTTCATGTAGTTCTAATGTGCAACAGTTAGAGGTCCTGTGAATTCTCTGGAATATTATGTTCATTACTTTTAAATCTGAAAAGCTGGCTGCAAAACCACCATTTTATTGGATTTTTTGAAATACCAAATGCCTGCATTCTTTGATCTAGAAGAATCATGAATTTTGAACCATTGCCATGCAGGTTTATTGACTTTGTTGTTGCTTAATATTACTATTACTGTTACATAGCATTCTACTCTACGTACCTGCAATATGAATCACTTCAGGCTTCCTATACGCTGTTTTTAAATGTTTTGAAATATTGCTTTCCTCAACCTGTTACAAGAACTGTTATGATTAACATATCTTGCCCAAAGAAACAGATTATATAAATGAGCCAGCTTCATGGATCATGTACAGAAGTAATTAGCTGTAGTAAGCTAAGATTACTATTTTTTTTTTCTTTTGTGAAGATCAGCCCTGAGCTAACATCCATGCTAATCCCCCTCTTTTTGCTGAGGAAGACCAGCTCTGAGCTAACATCTATTGCCAGTCCTCCTCCTTTTTCCCCCCCAAAGCCCCAGTAGATAATTGTATGTCATAGTTGCACATCCTTCTAGTTGCTGTATGTGGGACACGGCCTCAGCATGGCCAGAGAAGCGGTGCGTTGGTGCGCGCCCGGGATGCGAACCCCGGGCCGCCAGTAGCAGAGCGTGCGCACTTAACCGCTAAGCCACGGGGCCGGCACCTAAGATTACTATTATTAAGACTTCTGAGATTTGAGAAGTTGGGAGCTATCAATTGAAGCCCCTAGAGGTCCATTATATTCTCTAACCCTTGAATTCTGTCACCTGAACAGTTTATTTTGTCAAAAGCCATTTTTCCCCATCCCATTCACTATCACTTTAAATATGGATATTCTCCTCCTCAATGAGGCTACTTAAAATGTTAAATTCACCTTCTAAAAATTATTCACGAAGTTATTTTCAAACAAAACATCCTCTTAGAATTAATGTATAAGGTAAGGTCAAATGAAATTTTTTGTCAGTGGTAAGGAAAATTTCAACTTACATTTTTGCAACTTCTTTAACAACATCACGGCAGGTCATTTCTTTCATCTAAAGAAAATGATATATTCAGTCAAAAGAAGAACACTTTTCACTTGTGTAACTATTTTCAGATTCTTTTCACAACTTTTTACCAATAACCCATGCTCTTGAGATCGATTCTCAGGTATAAAACCAAGGAAAATAACCTAAAATCCAAAAAGACCAGGACCTAAGTTTTTTGATTCACAGTTTAATGTTTTTAAATTATTATGCCAAAATAGACATTCTAGACAACCTTTGACACCACTAATTTTGTGGTAAGTGTTAAAATTTATAAAAATCCAGACCCCTGTATGAATAGATTCACAGGCAGACTCTGATGTTTAAAAGATTGGAGAAGAAATTTTTTTTCTTTATAGCTAATTTAGGATAATAAAATGCAAAGTATGAATACCTATCATTTACAAGATACAGAGAGATTAAAGAGTAAGATAAAGTGTCCCTCATGGAACTATTCAAGACAAAATTCAAGACAAACATGCAAAATATCTGGGAAAGCTGTGAAGAACCAAGATTTGAGTGGGTTCTTAGCACATAGTTGGATTTGGTCTGATTTTGAAGAAGAGAAATGAAATGCACAAAGTGCAAGTGGGAATCCAAAATCTTATTCATATGAAAAGTAATTAGCATTCTTATAGTGAACATTTTTGGAAATCAGGGTAGAAAAACAGCCCTTAGACACCTGGCTGAGAAATCTATATACTGTAGGTACTAGAAGTAATCAGTGCAGGAGGTTATTAGGCATATGGGTTTCTGAACAAAAATGACAAGATCAAAGAAATGTTTGAGCAAACTGCTGTTCATACTCTGGATATGCTGGGAAGAATGGAAAATGGTGAAAGATGAAGAGTTCATACTCTGGATGTGCTGGGAAGAATGGAAAACGGTGAAAGATGAAGAGTATTCATACAGCAGTCAGGACTTGAAGTGATTCAATTGTTATATCTGTAAACTAGGTTTATTAATATTTTATTGTTGGCATTTTTTTTATATTTAGAAATCCTAATACTCTAGCTGTGCCTGCACAAACCACATAAGGAAGGAAGAACACCAAAAAATCATAATTTAAATTTAAGAATACCAGCCTTATTAGAAAATAGATCTATTATGTGGGACCAACTACAAAAGCAACTGGCATGGGCTCTTCAAAAAATTAATATTGGAGGGAGGGGAATACTTAAATTAGAAGAGATATAAGAAACAAACTTAGGGGCCAGCCCTGTGGCTTAGCAGTTAAGTGAGCGCACTCCGCTACTGGCGGCCCGGGTTTGGATCCCAGACGTGCACCAATGTACCACTTCTCCGGCCATGCTGAGGCTGCGTCCCACATACAGCAACTAGAAGGATGTGCAACTATGACGTACAACTATCTACTGGGGCTTTGGGGAAAAAAAGGAGGAGGATTGGCAATAGATGTTAGCTCAGAGCTGGTCTTCCAAAAAGAGGAGGATTAGCACGGATGTTAAGCTCAGGGCTGATCTTCCTCACACACACACAAAAAAAAATTTAACGTGTGAGCCTTATTATCATAGTTTGAAAAACAGTTATAAATGACATTGTTGAGATATTGAGGCACTTCAATTATGGACTGAATATCAGATGATATCTTAAAGTGTGATAATGGTATTATTCTAAGAGATGAATGCTGAAGCATTTAGGGATGCAATGTCATGATGTCTGCAATTTTTGTTTCAAATAGTTCAGGAAAAAACATATGAATGGATGCAATATTGAAAAAAAATAACTGTTCAATCTAGATGGAGATATCTGTTGCATTATTCTTATTTTTTCTGATGTTTAAATTTTTTTTTTTTTATTTTTTTTATTTTTTCCCCCCAAAGCCCCAGTGGATAGTTGTGTGTCATAGCTGCACATCCTTCTAGTTGCTGTATGTGGGACTCGGCCTCAGGATGAACGGAGAAGTGGTGCCTTGATGCGCACCCGGGATCCGAACCCGGGCCACTAGCATCGCAGCGCGCGCACTTAACCACCAAGCCACAGGGCCGGCCCAGATGTTTAAATTTTTTCCTGTTAAATTGGGGTTGAAGAGAAGGAAAAGAATACCAGTCTTCATACTTTTGCCCTTATAGGTTAAGTTCTATATTTATTAGTAAACTAATTGTATCATATAAAGGCAAACTTAATTAAGCAAACTTGAAAAGGCACATTTTAAATGGCAAATATACTTTTACATATGTTAGTGAAGTTTTTATTTCATAAAATGATAAACAGAACATGGGAAGAAAATAGGCCAGAGCAATGATGTAGAGCAGGGGTTGGCAAACTCTTTCTGTAAAGGGCCAAGTAGTAAATATTTTAGACTTTTTGGTCCATATGGTCTTTGGTCTCTGTTTCAAGTATTCAACTCTACTGTTGTACTGCAAAATCAGCCATAGACTGAATGTAGCTGTATTCCAATAAAACTTGAAAATGCAGGCAATAAGCCATAGTTTGCTGACCTCATTTAGAGGATGTTTTTGTCATTAAGCATACGTGTTCCTCAACTGAAGTGATCTTTCTCAATTCTTAGCTAGGATTTGGTGGTATTCCCATTCCTTGCTAGGATTTAACCATAGGAAGTCTGTGATGGAAAAGAACACTGGTCTAAGAGTCATGAGATCTGGGAACTATTCAGCCAGTGTGTTTAACCCAGGGTTGGGCTTGGGCTAAGTGATCACTAAGGTCCTTCTGTCAATTTTACTAAAATACCAAACATGACTTAGGCTTTACAGGTCTAGAGCTTGGCATTAAATTCCAAGCACTAAAAAAATGTTTTCTGGAAACTGTCCTCAAACAAGTTGAATGAGTAATTAGTGGAGCAGGCTTCCAGTACAGCATTAATATTAAATGTATATGAAATTTTTTCTCACTGTAATTTACCAAAATACTGATAAATCATATGCCTGCCTTTTAGGGAAGTTTCTGATAAGCAATAAAGAGTTGGTGGATATTGTTTCAATATTAAGTTGATCAATTTATGGATAAAAAGGAAACCAGCAAATTTTTAACAAAACTTTTTCACACTATAGATGAATTTCTGGCTCTTGGGGGAAGAAAAGGTGGGTAGTTTTAACAGGACAGGGTTTCATGCCTTAGTATCTAGCTAGGAGCAAAGGAAAGAGAAGCACTGGAGCATAGTCAGGCTCTTAATGTACTTCCGCAGACAAAAGCCGTGCTCGAGAAAAGAAAGAAATGATATAATAAAACACCAAAGTTCTCAACCTAAGGCTCACAGGGCTCCATGAATGGGCTTCAAGGATTTTGTGAAATTACATAAAAATTTGTATTTTTCTGGATTAAGGGTTTATAGTAAGCAGCCATCAAAATCATAAAAGGATTCATGGCACAACTCTACAGGTAACATGTTACCAGCTTTCTTATTCAGCCACTTAGCAGCTGCAGAAAGCACTGCTCAAAACAGCAAACCACACTATATCCTTGGACTAAATGGTTTAGCTTGTGATAAAATTTCACTGCGTGAGGACAGTGTTAAAGCAAAAATTCAAGCATTAAGTATGTATTACCTGAAGCTTTTCTATTTCGGTCTTTGCAGCTTGCCTGGCTTTGCCAATGGCACAACCCCAATAACCCTATTTAGAAAGAACACACACCAGAATATATATGTTATTCAATTAAGTTAATATACTATCATACATAAATTATTGACTACTGCTTCTATTTAAAGGTTAATGAATGGATGTTAAATGACTTTCAAAAGTATGGAAAAATACAGTCAAACACATTCTAATGAACACCAAGAGGCTCAAAAAAATTAAAATACCAAACTTAACTCTAGAATAATCTGGATTATTTTTAATAGCAGTATATTCAAAGAAAAACAAATTATGTCATTATATATACTTCATGAACTAGAAACATTTTTGAGAGTAGGGATGAAAAAAATTTTAGCATTATGACAATGAAAATGAAGTTATTTCTGAGAAAAAAATTTCTATAAGTTCAATACCTTAAACCTTCATTTTTTATTACTTATATTGTAAAGGTTATTTTTTAAATTAAAGGATGCCCATTTATACTTGTGTATAATGACAAAATATAGTCTCAATTTTTTTAGTGAAAACAAATAAATCTCAGAAGGCAGTTAAGAAAAGGTAATTCGAAAAGGTAATTAGAGAAAGATCCAAGAAATCCCATTTAAAATCCTTTTTTAAAAGGGAAGATACTATATTCAGTTGAAGACATATTTATAGTGAGAGCTAAATATATTAATATTAGCTATAGTAACATAGCTAATATTTATAGTAATAAAAGAAATATCACATATTTGAAATTTTATGTTCACTATGCAATTTCTATAAACGGCATATTGAAAGCCACGAATCTTTCTTCTGCCTCATATCCATAGGTTGTTATTAATGATAAACAAGAAAATGTTACTTTCCTCCAATTTTAAAGAAACTTCATATAATCCAAATATATGACTTAAGTGCTAATAAGATACTATCAGAACTTCAGATGATTCAAAATTACTCACATATGAAACACCCGATGGGTCAATCATGTAGAGTTGTGCACCATCATTCACACTGTAAGACCCTAACATGAAACTGCATAAAAGTAAATTAATAGTTTAAACCATGGTTCTTAATACCATAGAGGTACAAAAAAATACAGTGATAAAAATGCAATTATACTTTCTAAGATAAAATACTAATATACACATAACTCATAGTAAGCACTTTGATAAGGCAGTTTCAATAAAAACTAGTACATACTTGAAACTGTTCAAAATTCACGTGGCTTTGTTTAGTATTAAACTTTCATCAGAAACTTTCCTGGAAGGATTTTAGCAGTGTAGACAAAGGAGTAATGATAGATGTAAAACTAATGAGAGGGCCCAGGGCCCAACAGGTAAAGGCATAAACATGAAAAAGCCAAGGGAATACAATTCCTGATATGAGTACACTGAATCCACCTCAAACTCTTGTTCCACCCTTCATTCTTTTTTTGGCTATTCCCCAATATTCCTCCAGTTATTTTTCTGCAATAAACCAAAGTGATTCGATTTGTTTTTCAAAGCTCAGCACATTTAAATTAAGCTATTAAACAATTATATGCATTACTGATTTTCTGAAATTGTGATTTGTCTTAGAAGTAGAGAAGAAACCAGCCTCATCTTACATATCATTTCATGTGCAGAGTAATAGCCTACTGTCCAGTTCCCACTCCTACCATCATTCCCTTCCATCTTCCACACTGCTCTGAGACTTATCTTTCAGAATACATAACTGATTATCATTATTTAAAAACCCTTCAACGTTTTCTTAGTATGGAGCACAGACTCCTGTATGATCTGGCCCCTTCCTACATCTTCAATATCATCTAAAGCTTATACTCTACACACCAAGTATACTTGACTACCTCAACATTACCTGAAATGGCCATGTAGTTTCATACCAGTCCCTTTGTTTGAAATAACCCTCACCATTCCCCCTACATCTCATATTCTTTTCCTTGGCACTTCTTCAGAAAGAGGCCATTCACTAATTGGTGCTCCACTATATACTCAATACATACTTTCTTCATCATATTACCTCCAAAACTGTATTAACAGGGGCCGGCCCAGTGGCACAAGTGGTTGGGTGCGCACGCTCCACTGCAGCAGCCCGGAGTCGGCCGGTTCAGATCCCGGGTGCGCACCGACACACCACTTATTGAGCCATGCTGTGGCAGCGTCCCATATAAAGTAGAGGAAGATGGGCATGGATGTTAGCCCAGGGCCAGTCTTCCTCAGCAAAAAAGAAGAGGCTTGCATAGATGTTAGCTCAGGGCTGGTCTTTCTCACCAAAAAAAAAAAAAAAAAAAAAAAAAAATTGTATCAACAGTGACCTAGTCATCTTTGTGTTCCCCCCTCACGTCTATGACTGACTCTTGGTATGTGCTCAATAAATGTTTACTCAAAAAGTTCTCTTCACTTTTCTTACTGTCTTAAAAACAGAAAACTGATGAATTCAGAGCTCAGTTGAAAGGTTAAAAATGAAAGGTATTCTATGAAGTCTGAAAGCTACATATTTCATAATGTAATTTAAGCGAGAACCTTAAGAACAAATATAAAAAATATCCACAGGTCTAACCTACTGCCAGTAGAATAAAACTTAGGTCTTCTGTAACATCTGTCCTCCTCAGTAATTTAAATATGGCTGATTATAAACAACTCAAAGGCAGGACTATAGCTAATATACTTTCTTTGTACAACCTTTAACAGTGGCAAGCACTCAGATGTTAGTAAATGTTTTGTTTTGATCAAACATGATTGACTTGTTTATTTTTTAACAGTTATAAACGTCTTTTTATTTTAGGAAAATCTAGAGTCATGACAGATCAACTCTGAGAAGCCATAATTGAATATTTACATGTACTCAGGTCTTGATGCAACTGAATCCCAGCTTTCCCCCCAAATAAAAATATCAGCACTTCAACTTAACAGCAGAAATAAGAAACCGTGACATGTAATTTTGTGTGGATTCATTAAATGTTATGTTAGTGCCGTTGAGTCGATTCCGACTCCTAGTGACCCTGTGGACAGCAGAGCAGAACCTCGCCTGGTCTTTTTGCGCCATCCTCTCACCTTCTGGCGCTCTATCAGACAATGCTCCACTGCTATTCATAGGGTTTTCATGGCCAGTTTTTTCACAAGTAGGTGGCCAGGTCCTTCTTCCTAGTCTGTGTGAGTCTAGAATGGATTCATTATTGACTACTAAAAACTCCCATTTAAGAACATTTTACCTAATTGTTTAAAGTATATCAGATGGAAATTAATGAGAAAATTGAAGCATCAGCATAGGTGGCTATCTAATAATGACAACATGGAATATATTTAAAATCAGTTTGCAGTTTCCTGAGAATGTCAGGGTCCAACACTAGTGAGTTTATTTTTTTTCCAGTTTTGAGAAATAATTGACATAATCACTGTATAAGTTTAAGATATATAGCATGATGGTTTGATTTACATATACTGTGAAATGATTACCACAATAAATTTAGTTAACATCCATCACTCTCATATAGATACAATAAAAAGAAATTTTCCTTCTGATGAGAACTGTTAGGATCTACTCCCTTAGTAATTTTCTACAGTTAACACTGCTGTATTAACTGTAGTCATCATGCTGTACGGACTAGATGCTGTACATTACATCCCTCGTACTTATTTATCTTATAACTGGAAGTTTATACCTTCTGACCACCTTCCTCCAGAGAATTTATTATACAGATTAAAGTTATTACTATGAATTCTGTTTTATTACTTCAAATCTGTATAGTCTTCTTCACTTTTCAAAGTTTTTATTTTTATGAATACTGTTTTATTTAATCACTGTCCTAATACTTCTTGGTAATAGTTCGTTTTTTTTAATGACATATTTTTTATTTTTACTTATACATGCCATAAATATTTTTTTCAATTATTTGAAATCATAAAGGTGTATCAGCCACATGCAAAAGAATGAAAGTAGACCATTATCTTGCACCATACACAAAAATAGTTCATATTTTTAAGGGTATAAAAGGCTAAGATGCTGGGGAAAACAGATACGTATAGTATAGATCTGACTGAGTATCTCACAAAATTTCATACCTGCAGCCAAAAGGTCTAACAGCACTGTAGAGTGTATATGCATGTACATACATGGCCACTCTGTCTGCAAGATGCTATGGGGAGAAAAACAGAAGAGCTTATTAATAAACTCCTACTGCTCAAAAGGCTCCTCAACATGTCATCAACTTACTTTTAGTGGAATGTCATAGCCAAAGTTAGATCTAAAGTTGGAAGCTTCTTCTCTTGCAATGTCTGCTAAAGAACGAGCATCTGCCAACAAACCTGCTACTGCCTGAAAGAAAATAATATGGTACCAGCTTATAAATACATTCCTATCTCAAATCAAGGACAGTATGTCATTATTGTAGGCTTATTTAATATTTTTTAACAAGCATCACCATTAAAAATAAATTTTTTTGGCTTAAAGATCTTTACGAGGCATTCTGGCATCTTGATACTTGAGTATGGGATTACAATTTGGAAATTTACCAAGGGTAACTCACTTCATTGTTTTGTTCAGTAATGACATTCAGAAGGAATATTTCTGTAATAAATCTTCCACTTCTCCCCATTTACCACTTAATTATAAAGAATAAAACAACAACAGAAAAGAATAAAACCATTGGCCTTGGTCAGTATTGATCTCTTTTTAAATTTAAAGCAGTTCTGTGTGTCAAAAACTTATTAAAAGTTTTGATCTAAAAGGCACAACCTCAAATCTCCTTTTTCAGCCTATTGACTAATAAATTGCAATGCCAAACCAAAATATGACAAACCACAAACCTTCCAAGATGGTGGCTTAGAACTGCGTTTACCAAAACATGTGCTGAGACATCCTAGGGCATTGTAGTGAACTCAGAGTTGTGTGACATTTTAAGTTTGGGGGAAACATTTGTTGAAGTAGTTCACAGATTCAACATTAGATTATTCTACATTCCTTTCAATGCCATCATATTGTTAAGAAGCTGGGTTGCTGTGATAAAAAATAAGTACTGTGCAAAAATCAATGTGGAATGGGAAGTGAGGGGGGGCAGCAACTAATCTGATTCCAAAGTTTAAGAAGTTGTGCAGTGCATATTAATAATTGTGGTGGTTTTTTTTTTTTTTTTTTGTGAGGAAGATCAGCCCTGAGCTAACATCCAGGCCAATCCTCCTCTTTTTGCTGAGGAAGACCGGCTCTGAGCTAACATCTATTGCCAATCCTCCTCCTTTTTTTCCCTTTTTCTCCCCAAAGCCCCAGTAGACAGCTGTAGGTCATAGCTGCACATCCTTCTAGTTGCCGTATGTGGGACGCAGCCTCAGCATGGCCGGAGAAGTGGTGCGTCGGTGCACGCCCGGGATCCAAACCCAGGCCGCCAGCAGCGGAGCTCACGCACTTAACCGCTACACCACGGGGCTGGACCCAGTAATTGTGGTTGTTTAAAAATAAAATACTTTTCTTTCGCTGTATGTATATATATTTTTTTTACAGCTACTATGTTTTTAGGACATAAACGCTAAGTTGTTTGGACCTAAATATATAATAAACAGAACCACTGGGTATTTCTTTTGGCCTAGGGAAGCTATGAAAAAACATTAATCAAACAGTTACTTGTACTAGGAACCAAGAAAGTCTGGGAACTGCTGGCTTAGGAGATTTGCAGAATTTAAAAGTGATACCAGAATTTTTAACAGCCTTTTTATCTACTGCTTTGTAGTAATAGTAATAATGAGGAAAATTTCTAACACATATTGCGCACTCATTACATGCTAAGCATTTTACTTATTTTTAACCATGCAACAACTGTATGAGGGTGCTATTACCACCCTAGTTTTGCAGGTGAGGAAACTGGTGTTTAGAATAACTTCCCCAAGGTTACCTTACCAGTAAGTGTCACCATTTAATAAAGAATCTTCTATTGCTTTGGAGAAAGCTTACTGTGAAGTCTAATAATTCTCATATCACTTGAAGATAACAGTTGTGGAGCCAGAACATTAATCCTTGATTTTCTCCAACCCTCTTCAGTGTCTAATGTTTTGCCAATTTCCAGCTATAAGGAATGCCATCAGTTTCCTGGCTTTAAATAACAAATGCGACAAATTTGAAAATTCTAGGACAACAAAATTTTTTCAATCACTGAAGTGCCTATAAGCGTATATGATTTTTTTCAAAATAGACCTACCTAAGGTTATTTACTAAGTGAAAGAATGTATGATTCACTAGTTCCCTCCTACCAGCTAGGTTACAATCTGGCAAGTTTCACCAAAACATATCAGTTTCACTGGCAATAATACAATTGTTCAGGAGAGAAAGTATGTTCAGATAAAAAAATTATCTGTAGCTTTATAGTTTACTGGTTGTATTTTACCAGTCCTTTTTGTGTTTGTAACACATTTCATTTGGAAATACCAAAGGTATCAGCAGAATGAGTGGGTCCTATAGGATCTCACCCTGCAGCATGGGCTCTGGAGTAACATGTAGACCATGCAGACCCAAGTTTGAATCCCAGCTTATTTCTTTACCAGCTGTGAGTCTGTTTTCTTATCTGTAAAAATGGGATTAACATTACTTTCACTGAGTTGTCAGGATTAAACAATTTATGTAAAGAGCCTCTAGCATAGTATCTAGCACACAGGCGTTCTCTTTTCTTCCTTACCTTTTTAGTCAAGTGTTGGAATCATTTCTTCTCTTTTGTTGGTGGTTGTTTTTACCGAAGAAAGTCTGACATTTATATAGGATGACTTCAGTATACACCAGCCATGTATTTATGGCTTGGCTTGCAATTATACAAAGCAGTCACTCAAGATACCAGCTACATAAAATAACTTAAATACAGCAGTGCCTATGAAGCTATTAAAAAGGATGTGCTCACTTTTCCTTTCATTAAACATCCTTTTCTGATGCTCCACCTTACTATAAAGGTATTCTCTATCTGGTAACATTTTCAGTGTGACACTGATCCCCACAAGGGATACAAAAAGCTAAAGATTCGTTCCCTCTCAAGCATATGCCTTCACTGGTAATCTGTGCTGCCAAGATCTCTTTTCTGCACGTACTTCCTACCCTTTTCCTGCCTCCTTAAGGCAACTGCGTTCTTCATATCTATCTACAATTGGGTTATGAGAATGCTGCCTTTCTTTTAGACAGTAAAATGTTCACAAACCAGTAACTCTCTGTGATTACTCTGTGGCTGCCCTCTGATCTGTTTCTGCCTCAATGCTAAAGTAATAAATGGGTTCTTAGAATCACATTTTAATATATTCCAGTCAGTTACTTCACAAGAAACTGGACAAGGCAAAAAGAAACATTTTTAAATGTGACCTTACCATTCCAACATGCCGATCAACGTTAAAAAGTCGTTTGTTGGAACCTTCTTCATAAAGTTTAGAAAGGACTAATTTTTCTACCCCAAAGACAACACCATCTTTACATCTGATTCCAATAGCTGTACTGAAACAAGTAGAAGAAAATCAATTTTTTAAATGACAATAAACTTCATAAGTTAAAAAAAAATACACAAGTAGGTACCATTCAGTATTTTAAAGCATATCAAGTACTTTAAAACAAATACATATGAAAACAAGAAAGAGAACACAACTGAAAGTGTAATAAATTAGATCCACGTAAATGAACGTCATGTGACTGAAAAAAAAATCTAGCATATCATCACGTAAAAAGATATTAATACATAAGTGAAAAAAAGATGCCAATAAAATATGTACAAAATGGCACAGTGTCTGGCATATGATAGCCATATTATAACAAATGTTGACTAAATTCATGTCCATTAAAAATGGTACAGCCCTAAATCCAATGACTGGTGTTCTTGTCAAGACTGGGAGATACAAATCATACACAGAGAGACACAGGTGGACAGCCATGTGAAGACAGAGGCAGAGATTGGAGTGATATGTCTACTAGCCAAGAAACGCCAAAGATTTCTGACAGCCAACACAAACTAAGAGAGCGTGGGATCAGCCCTTCATTCCTCAGAGCCTCTAGAAAGAACCAACCTTGCTAACACCTTGAGTTCAGACTTTTGGCCTCCAGAACTGTGAGAAAATAAATTTCTGTTGTTGTAAGCACACACACACACAAAAATGTATATAATACCCATAGAAAAGCCAGGCTATCTACAAACTAAATAAAGTTAACAGTGCCTAATCTGGATGGAAAGATTATAATTCTTTTTCTTTTGCTCATTTGCTTTTTCTGCAATAACCATGTCTTGCTTATAAGTATATAAGAGAATAAAATACATGTTTTGTACAACTGTTTAAAACAAAATAGATCTTAAAATAATCTCTTAAATAAACGTGGAGAAATTATATATTGCCATTTCAAGATGAAAATACATTAATTACTTTATTCTTCTAATCCTTTTAACAAAGGGAATTCTGATCAGAAACAACCAGAAAAATGAACAGAGTCCCACACCCAAAATTTACAAAGAATTTCAGACACTCCTTCCCTGACACTTCAGGTATCTTCAATGGCTCCCCTTTCTTTTTTCTGTGTGTGTGTGTGAGGAAGATCAGCCCTGAGCTAACATCCATGCTAATCCTCCTCTTTTTGCTGAGGAAGACCGGCTCTGAGCTAACATCTATTGCCAATCCTCCTCCTTTTTTTTTCCCCAAAGCCCCAGTAGATAGTTGTATGTCATAGCTGCACATCCTTCTAGTTGCTGTATGTGGGACACCGCCTCAGCATGGCCAGAGAAGCGGTGCATCGGTGCGTGCCCGGATCCGAACCCCGGGCCGCCAGTAGCAGAGCATGCGCACTTAACTGCTAAGCCACGGGGTCGGCCTGAATGCCTCCCCTTTCAAGTTTCAACTCCCTGGCCCAGCTTTCAAAAATCCTGAGAATCTGCAAAGCCCATCTAGCTTATTTAATATTATAAATCCTGTGCTCTACTGAATTCAAACTCACTGTCAACCCTCAGACCCCTTATGTTCATTTTTGCTTTTATGTCTTTGTTGAGGTTATCCTGGGTACTAGAATATATTTCCCACTTACCACTGATTGTTTAAATAAATTTCCACAACCTTTTGCAAAGTTCACTTGAACTTAAACTCTACAGCCTCAGGTAGCCTTTCCTAATTATTCCAACTCACCATCTTCCTCACTGTTCAGAATCTAAAACATTCTTTATTCTAAACTAAAAGTTCTCTAAGCGTGGTCTGTGAAGCCCCTGGGAATCCCTGAGATCCTTTCAGGTGGTCTGTGAGGTCAAAATTATTTTCATAAGAATACAAAGACAAGAATACAAAGAATATCATTTGCTTTTTCCACTGTGTGGACGTCTGCACTGGTGGTACAGAAGCACTGGTGGGTAAAACTGCTGGCACTTTAACGCAAATCAACGCAGTGACAGGAGATAGCAGTAATAACCGTTAATCATATTCTTCACTGCTACACTCTCACAGTTTACAAAAAAGCCACTTTTTGGGGCCGGCCCGGTGGCGCAAGCGGTTAAGCGTGTGCGCTCCGCTGCGGCAGCCCGGGGTTCGCCGGTTCAGATCCCGGGCGTGCACCAACGCACCGCTTGTCAGGCCATGCTGTGGCGGTGTCCCATACAAAGTGGAGGAAGATGGGCACAGATGTTAGCCCAGGGCCAGTCTTCCTCACAAAAAATAAATAAATAAATAAAATAAAAATTTTAAAAAGCCACTTTTAGTTAAGAATGTCCTTGATAAAACAGTAATTAATTTTATTAGATGACAACCCTCGAGTACCTGGTTTTTTATTATCACACTGAAACGGAAGGTACTCTAAGTACTTCTATTGTACATCAAATATGATGGTTACCTAAAGGAAAAAGCATTGATAAAACTGTTTTGAGTTGTGAATTTTTTCATGGAACACTTGCTTTTACCTTAAAAGAATGTAAGACAAACTACGTTTATTTACACTTAAGTATGTGGCAGACTTTATTTTTCCTAAAATGAACAAAGTGAGCCTGTCACTTCAAGGAAAACAACTGACAGTATTTTGTTGCTGGTGATAAAATTCAAGTTTTCAACCATAAACTGGAATTTTGGAAAACATACTCACCACTATGAGCTCGTCTGTTTCCCAATACTTACAAACTTTTATGATCAGATTGGTGGTGATATTAACAAGTGTGATGTTTCTGATAGTATATATGAAATATGTCAAATTTGGCAAATGTGTTATAACTCAGTGAACCAATATTTTCCAAATGACCAAGTCATAATATTGCAAACCAAGCATGAGTAAAACATCTGAAGTGCAAGATTACATTAAAACACAGATTTTAATGTAAAGTACAAAAAGTTTATCAATAAGTTTTCAGATTCCACACTGCAACTAACCTTTAAGAAGCTTAAGCATCTGTCCAGTTTTGGTGTAGTATCAAAGAACAACATCCATAATTGTCTGAAAAGGCTATTAAAATACTGCTCACTTTTCCAACTACACAGCTATGTGAAGCCTGATTTCCTTCACATGCTTCAACAAAAGCAATGAGATATTGAAGCAGAAGCAGATACGAGAATCTGTCTTCTAATAAGCTTCAATTAACTACTGTGACCTATAAAAATGTAAAACAATGCCACTCTTCTCACTATATTTTTTTTATATTCTGGAAGTTATTTTTCATTAAAAATGTTTGAATGTTAATTATTTTTAATTAATGTTAATCTATTACTTATGTTAACATGCAACTGTGTTTATTATTATTTTATTTATTTTTTTGCTGAGGAAGAATGGCCCTGAGCTAACATCTATGCCAAAACTCCTCTATTTTCTAAGTGGGTCGCCACCACAGCATGGCTGCCAACGAGTGGTGTAGGTCTGGGGCCGGCTCCGTGGCTTGGCAGTTAAGTGCATGTGCTCCGCTGCTGGCAGCCTGGGTTCGGATCCCGGGTGTGCACCCACGTGCCGCTTCTCCAGCCATGCTGAGGTGGCGTCCCACATACAGCAACTAGAAGGATGTGCAACTATGACATACAACTATCTACTGGGGCTTCAGGGAGAAAAAGGGAAAAAAAAGGAGGAGGATTGGCAATAGATATTAGCACAAGGCCGGTCTTCCTCAGCAAAAAGAGGAGGATTGGCATGGATGTTAGCTCAGGACTGATCTTCCTCACAAACAAAACAAAACAAAACAAAATAAAACGAGTGGTGTAGGTCTGCACTCAGAATCCGAACCCACAAACCCAGGCCACCGAAGCAGAGCACACAAACTTAACCACTAGGCCATGGGGCCAGCCGCTCGTTGTTATTTTAAATGAATTAATATTTTTTATTTTCTCAGTTTTAATTCCTAATATGGTAAATATTGATAGAACCAATAACGTACATAAAAGCTGTTTGGGGTCATGGTAAACAGAGAGAACCAATAAGCTACACAAATGAATGCTCTGTGAGGTCCTCAGTGATTTTTTTTTTTTTTTTGGAGCTAACATCTGATGCCAATCTTCCTCTTTTCACTGAGGAAGATTGGCCCTGGGCTAACATCTGTGCCCATCTTTCTCTACTTTATATGGGACGCTGTCACAGCACGGCCTGACAAGTGGTTCATGGGTGTGCGCCTGGGATCCGAACCTGTGAACCTTCAGCTGCTGAAGCAGAGCGCGCACACCTAACTGCTATGCCACTGGGCTGGCTCCAGTGATTTTTTTCTTACAAATATAAAGGGGTCCTGAGACCAAAGTTCTGTGTGTATTTTTGTTCTAAACAATCTAGCCCTTACACTTATGTTGTACAATCTTCCTTTCATATCTTGGCTCCTCAATGAGGCTAAAGAGGAAGAATGTAATTGTAATCTTTCCCTTTTTCTCTTTTGCATATTACATTCTAGGGGCATACTTTTATAAAAGTTATGATCATACTAATCATATTTTAATAAAATGTTTTACGTATTCACTTATATGTCATTAATTATTTTTGGTAGTTCCTATGCTTAACACAAAAAATACTCGAAAATATTTGACTTTTAAATTCCCAAGATTAAATCTTTTTCTTTAAAAGAATTCATCTCCTTTCAATGCAGAAATATAATCTTAAATCACATTATTCAGTTAAATGTTCTTAGTTTATATGTCATACTCTTAAGAAAATTAATATACAATCTAATTTTTCTATTTTCCATTTTCTGTGCCCACACAGCACTTAAAAATTTTCTGAATATTTTTACATATATTTCATTCTTATGGCAAGTTATGTGAAGTAGTTAGGGTAGATTTCTACATCTCGATCTTACAGACAAAAAGTAACATTCAGAGGACTGCATAGAGGAACTCTTTATAATATTACTATTAAGTAGCAGCTAGGAGGAAAATTCACATCTGATCCTCATCCAATATTCTACCATACCAGGTTACACAAACCCCCTTAAAAGATAAACTTTCCTAGTATTTTTTCTTTACACAGAAAAAAATACGTTCATTTTTAACGTTTCAATTTTTAAAAATCGTATTTCTTCAAGTTTGCTTAAATGTACCTGTTTTAAATCATATTTAGAAATATTTTATGGAAAACAAATTCCTAAGATTCACAGATTCTTATAGCCTAGTCTCAATTGTCTGGGTTACAGATGGTTTCAAAATATATCTCCAGGGGCTGGCCCAATGGCAAAGTGGTTAAGTTCACGCACTCCATTTCGGCAGCCCAGGGTTCGTGGGTTCGGATCCCGGGCACAGACCTACACACTGCTCATCAAGCCATGCTGTGGCGGCATCCCACATACAAAATAGAGGAAGATGGGCACAGTTGCTAACTCAGGGACAGTCTTCCTCAAGCAAAAAGAGGAAGACTGGCAACAGATGTTAGCTCAGGGCCAATCTTCCTCACCAAAAAAAAAAAAAAAAAAAAAAAGTTTCTCCAGTTTTTCTCTTAGTCTTCTCTTACCAGTATTTTTACACCAATGAAAACGCAAGAATGTAAAGGAGGAAGAGAAAAACAATAACTTCCTCAATTCTTTGTCCAGCTCCTTGGTCTAAAAGCCTATCTTCTGGGGCCACCCCGGTGGCACAAGCGGTTGGGTGCGCGCGCTCTGCTGCAGCAGCCGGGGTTCGCCAGTTCGGATCCCAGGCGCGCACTGATGCACTGCTTGGCAAGCCATGCTGTGGCGGCGTCCCATATAAAGTGGAGGAAGATGGGCACGGATGTTAGCCCAGGGCCAGTCTTCCTCAGCAAAAAAAGAGGGGGATTGGCAGATGTTAGCTCAGGGCTGATCTCCTCATAAAAAAATAAATAAATAAATAAATAAAATAAAATAAAAAATAAAAGCCTATCTTCCTTTATCAACAAGAAAATTATCAACTTTTTCTTGAATTTGACTCTCTTTTGAATTCTGTCAGGCTTTGTACACAATGACAAATACATTTCAGCCTAAAATTTTTAATAGCCTTACTTTTATTACAGTATCAGATACTGACAGCTTGTAAGTACCAATACTTCTAATAATACAACATTTAAATACAAAATAAACCAGCTTCATTACAAATCCTATAAGAGGACTTAAAATATATTTTTGCTCAAAAATTTTTAAATACTTCATAAACCATTAGATTTCCATATATTTTCTTTCTACCATTCAGAAGATGGCACAAAAAATGAACATTTATTCATTCACTAACTACCGAGGTCTTGCTATGTGCTAGCACATGCAAAGACAAGTAACAGCCTCTACCCTCATGAAACTTCCATAATCAAATATTGCAGGTACTATTAGAAAGTGGAAAAACTCAGTATTTACATGTGGACTTTTCTAAAATTTTGGAAACATTTCCCTACTCAACCTTTACTCCAAACGTTTTCATTATAATAAAAAAACTGAGCTCAAACACCAACACCTTTCATCTGGTAGGCCCGAAAAAAATTCTTTAAGAGATCTGAATGAGATGTTACGAAAGAAATTCTTTTTAAAAGGCCTTTAATTCATTCCAAAGCTGCTTTAGATTCAAAAATACAATCATCACCTAAGTATAACTGACTGTAAAATTTCTTCAATAAAAGACATAAAGTTTGTCAACAAGCTAATAATTTAACCAGATCTTATAGGGGTGCCAAAAAATCATTTTAGTGCATTACTCTAAACAATAAAACACAGAGTGAAGGAAGTGAGTACAAGAGGAAAATATCTTGGTGATCCTACACCTTTTGGAATGTGGCAGCAGAAGACGAGAAGAATGAAAAAAATCCTGAGACAAACATGTGACTAACTGCAAAGGACATTTAAAACAAGACGACAAGGTCACAAACCTAATGGACAAGGAAAACAATGATATAAATCAAGAATTTGAAAAGGAAAACAGGCTAGCAAAGATGATAACGAATTTGGTTTTATACACTACATTTAAGACATGGTAGAATAAGCCTGGAATCAACTGGAAATATAGGACTAGGCTCATGGAAAGATCTGGCCTAAAAAGAGATCTAGAAATGACTAATAAATTGAGATTGTTTTAGGGCATACATTATTTTGTGCTAAAGTAACATAACAAAACCTAATTACCAAAAATATAGAAAAGGAGACATTTAATACCTGGTTAATACATACTAATTTCAAGTTAAACAATGTTTCTTACCTACTATTTTCCACAGCCTTCATAGCGTATTCAACTTGAAAAACTCTTCCATCAGGAGAGAATGTAGAGGCTGACAGGTCATACTAGGAGAAAAAACGCAAAAATAAGTTTATAATGATGTATCTTTGGCAGTAATAACCTCACAATTTTTTTTTTCTAAACAGCTCACACATCAGAAATGTGTATCAGATCTCAACAAAGATTTTGCTTTGAAGAGGAAGGGGAAGCACGTCAGAGCAGCAACGTCAGCTAGGGGAAAAGTTATACACTTGAGGTTTTTGCTATTGAAAAGCAAGGTATGTCCTAGGTGAAGTCACAACTTTTTTCACACAAAACACAAAGCTCATTTTTGAAAAAAATTACTATGATATGATAAAAATAGCACTGGAGTCAGAACATTTTAATTCATAGCTATGGCACTAACAAACTGATGGACCTTGGGCAAATCATTTAGCATTCAAACATTTAATAAGCATCTATTATATGTTAGTCACCATAAGGGAATACAAAGAGTACTCTTTCTGAAGTCCTTCATTTTCAAATTAGATTAGGCACAAATCTAGGTGCTGGAGATACAGCAGTAAACCAGAAAAGGTACTAGGATGAAAATAAGACAGGGTGAAGTGATAGTCTGAGGAACTACAGATGACCTGATCAGACGGCCTTGCTGGGGCAGTTATATATTTAGTTATTTAGGCTGAGCCAGACCTAAATAACAAGTAACTAGCCATTTAGGATATGAAGGAGCCGTCCTGGCATTTGGCATGAAGACCTCAGAGTAGAAATAAGCCTAGCACAATCAAGGAAAAGAAATAAGGGCACTGTGTCTTGAGCACTGTAAGTGATGGAGAGAAGAGGACACTACACCAGAGGCATGTAACGGCCAAACTATGTTGAGTCTTCTGGGATGCAGCAGAAGTTTATATTTCATTCTAAATGCAATAGGAAATTACTGGAGTTTAAGCAGGAGGGTGATATGATCTAATTTTTTTAAAACATCATTCAGCTGGAAGATGAACTGAAGAGGGAACAAGAGTGGAAGCAGAGATCAGGTATTCCAAAGGTGGTGGCTTAGACTAGAGAAAAAGAGATGGAAGGCACTATCTTTTGAGGGTAGAATAAGAAAACTTGCTAATGGATTGGCTCTAGAAGTAAAGTAAAAAAGAAATTAAAGGTGAATCATAGATTTTTTTCATTTGAGCAATTAGAATTGGACCGTTCACTGAGCTCAAGATTGTAGGAGAAGCAAAATGGCAAGGAGAGGAGAAAATCCAGAGCTCTACTTGGGCACTGTAGTTTAGAATGCCTATTATTAAACAGTCAAGTAGACAGAAATGTCAAGTAGACAGAAATGTCAAGTAGACAGAGACAGGTCTTCACATCTGGAGTTCTTGGGAGAAATGAAGATAGGAGATAAGCCTTCAACAGCGGATCTTCCTGAGACTCAGTCTCCTGATCTGTTAAAGGGAGATCCTCAACGCTACCACTGTAACAGCAAAATATCTCACATAGTTATATTATCAAGTATTTTAAAGGGTATGTAGAATGAAACACTATTAATCGAAGGTAATATTAACGTAGTTGCAAAGTCAATTTGCTAAAACATGCATTACTGAGCGTCTACTAATCCAAAAAAAGTATGACAACTTTAGCATCTCATAACCGAATAGATTAAACCATTCCAAACATAAGCTGCCTATTGTCAAACTTGGAAAACCAATATTTGGGCGTAATGATGAGTATCAAAATCTTGTGAACAATAGGAATAGATGAACTGAGAAACCCATTATTCAATGCCTCTAGTGCAAATAACCAATAGATATTTCTATGCAAAAACTGTATTTTCTATATGGAGAAATACATAAAAAGCATAAGCAAAAGATTACATGCATGCAGTACATTTCACAAAAGAAAGTGGTAAGCCAAACAAGTTAACAATCAACTACAACTCCAAAATCCTCAAAGGTCTATTATAAGTCAGAAGCGGTTAAGCCCCTAGCTAATCATTTACATGTTTACGGTATTGATACCTCAAAGCGCTGTTAAGTAATTTGTACAGGAAAAGCTGCGACAAAGAAAAAACAGAAAGGATTCTTCAGATGTGTCTTTTCAGACGATTTTTATTAGCTCTGTCCCGATAGGGTTTGCAGGGACTCATACGCTCGAAGTGAAGACGAAGAGGCCCGTGAGTCAGCAGCACCCTGGGAACGGCAAAGGCGGTCCCCGGAAAGCCGCGTCTCAGACCCCGGACTCGCAAGCCGCCCTGCCTCAGTGGTTCTCCAGAGGCCAACTGTCGCCCTAACCCTTCACATACTATTTCAGGCCTCACAAGTTTCCACTTTCGGTTTCCCTAAGCGGCTAAAGAAAGTGACTAAGCAATTCGAAGCGGCTCCAAATCTCCCTGCTGCGCCGCCGAGCCCGCTACACCGGAGCTGGAAGGATCGGGTCGCCGGCACCGCAGACCCGGCCTGCAAACGAGCGCAGGGACGACCGCCCGCCACCAGACCGCTGGAAAGGGCCCACCTGGCAGAAGGCAGTCCCAGCGCTCCCCGAGTCCGCGCACCCCAAGCAGCCTGCCCGAGTTCCCTTCAACGCGAATCATTAGGCTAGACTATCACAACTAGAGACAGCGAACTCACCCCGGTGCCGATGGAGCTCATCGTGCTAAAACCCCCGGGACGCGCGGGGCTTCAGGGCCTGAAGCGCTCCCCTACGCCGCAGCACGCACACTAGTAACAGGCTCTCTCGTTGGCTACCCTGTCAACCAATAGCCTTCTTCTCTGTGGCTCGTTCCTCGGTCTTAGCCCGCAGAACAGAGGATTGTGGGGAAAAGGAGAGGTGGTGAGCGGGGTGGGCGAAGCGCGTGTGCAGAAGCAATGGAGGTGGGGTTAAGGGAAGGAGGGAGAGACGTCGTCTTCAGTTTTTGTCTCGACTGTGGTTGAATCGCTTTAAGTTATCGGATTGTTTGAAAAGCTGTTCTATTCCGTTTCCTAGGAATTATTATTTATTTTTATATTATCCCTCTCTTTCGCTACCCTATTCTTAAAGCAAAGCAGAGGGATGTTCTTATTCTCTTACGAAGACCAGAGGAAGCGTAGGGGAGAAGCCTGCCTCCCCACTTGGCTTCCCCGTTCTCACCCACCTCTCCTCACAGGAAGGAAGGAAGTTGCACTCTAAGGGTATCACGTTTGCGCTTAGGTTGGAATTTTACAGAAGCATTCTTTTAAATGCTTTCTATGGGTACTCTAAGAGTATAACTGGTAGAATAAGCATAAGACTGATTAAAGATAATTGTTGAGCTCTAGCATGTCCAAAGTACTCTTAAACACTGCTGATTAAACAGTGAACGAGATATAACCCATCCCTCATGGAGTTTACATTCAATGGGAGGAAATAGGCAAGAAAGAGCAAACAGGCAAAATAGTTGCACCTCGTGGTAAGACGAAAGAGGAGATAAAGTTTGAGCTTTAGGCCTGGTACTTAGAAATGGCCTTTCTGAATGGGTGATGTTTAAACTGAAACTTGGGATTGTTATGGGAATATAAGCTTGGCTTGTTATAGGAACTGTCAGGTCACTGTGGCCTATCGTAGTGATTGAGGGAGAGTGACAGGAAGTGAAATCAGAGAGGTAGACATGGGACCAGATATTGGGGTTTGGATTTTAATCTGAAGGCAATCAGCATTTTTTTTAAACTGCTGAATATTTCAGTGTGTATTTTCCCCAAAACAAGAACATTATTTTACATATCCACAGTACAATTATGAAAATCATCAAATTAACAATACTATTTTCTAATTTACCGACTTTGTTTAGATTTTGGTAATTCATTCAATAATGCCTGTCATAGCAAAAGAAAATTCAAAATCACACATTGTATTCGGTTGTCATGTCTCTAGTCTCCTTTAATCTGGAAAATAGTTGCTTAATATTTCTTTAGGTTTCGTAGCATTAACATTTTTGAAGAATACAAATCATTTGTAGGATATTCCTCAATTTAGGTTTGAATGATGTCTTTTCATGATTGGGTTCAGGTGATGCATTTTGGGCAGGAATGCCACAAAAGTAACCTTGTATTCGTATTAGAGCATCCTATTAGGAGGCACACGATGTCAGTTTGTTCCATTACTGATGATGTTAACTTTGATCACTTGCTTAATATTTCTCTACTATAAAGTTTCTATTTTGTCCTTTCTAGTTAATAAATATCTTGTGAAGAAATATTTTGAGACTATGTAAATATCCTGGTACTCCTCAACCTTTCACCCACTAATTATGGTATCCAATGATTCTTATTTGAATCAATTATTATTATGATGATTGCCAAATGGTGATTTTCTAATTCCGTCATTCCTTCCACATTTATTATTGGCTTTCTACTGTGAGGTCATCAGTAGTTTTTTAAGCAGATTTATGATCTAATTTAAGTTATTAAATGATCTCTATTGCTTCTGTGTCAAGAATGATAGATAAGGGGAAGAATAGAAGCACAGAGACTACTTAGAAAGCTATTGCAGTCCTGTGGGCAAGCAGTAAAGGAGAGTGATTTGGACTAGAGCGGTGGCAGTTGAGGTGGAAATGTGTGGATGTAGAAAGTAAGGGAAAAAGAGGAATTTCAGTTGCTTCTTCCTGCTAATGATGCATTGTAATTAGCGGTTAGTTTTTATTCTTGAACAAAGAGATTAATAAAGGATTTGAATTTACTTGGAAAGCTAGCCATTTAATTTACCTAACTCTCACTGAAATATTCTAGTTGTAATTTTTTCATGAGGGATCCTGATTTAGACCAGAGTAGGCCAAGAAAGTGCTCAAGAATATGGTTGTAGGAGGGTTTGCCTTGAAGATAAACTACAAGTACTCGAAACTTGTTCAGGGGTCCAGTTCAACTTTTAACTAACTTCACTGTGTGTATAAACACTATTTGTGTGTGACAAACACTAATGCCTAGTACCTACCATATATTCATTAATAATAAAGAATTTGGAGCTCTTTCTAAACTCATTGTCAGATTAGCTGCCTATTTTTGGGATGGGTTGTTGATTTATCTTGTATCTTGGAAGAATGCAATGAATTGGGGCCTCAGATTGTTGATTATTTGATTCATTAGAAAACTTAAAAGGTGTGGTTATGGATTTGTTTGTTTGTTTTAACTATATTACTCCAAATTACTTTTCGAAGTAGTGCATATAAAATCAGTATGTGATTTACATACGTCTTTCTTATAGGGTAAGTTTTTGATGTCATCAGTCTGTTTTATACTTCTGTCTATTAGAATACATAACACATGGTAGGTACTTAATAAGTGTGTCAAAAATGCAAAGAAATACAAATTCACTTCCCACTTACGTTCTACCAAGTTATAAAATAATAAAAAATAAACCAGAGTTTGGAATTGCAAGAGAAAATTGTTAGTGAATAATTAATATTTTAAGCTTGAAAATGTTTAAATATTCTATTTAAATCCTAGGTGTACTTTGAGGAATCTAAAAACATATAATATTATTTTATGCCATACCCTACTATTATTTTTTTAATTAATTAGCTCAGGAAACGTGATGCCCAATGTCATCTAAGTACCGTCTTTTAGGGATAATATCCCAAGAATTCTGTTATTTCCGGGTGAACAATTAGGCTTCAACTCGCCGCTGTTCTGAGCAGTAGAAAAGACACTACCCCCATAACAGAAATTAGCAGAGTTCTTTATCTAGAGAAGTACTAGTATCCCAGAATATATATTTTTTCATAGGCGATTGATTATTCCATTGTCTCAGCTAGTCATAATTTGATTAAAATCAATTCTTCTCTTTTCCTCTTAGAATTAACATTCTTTACCATAATTCAGTGACTCTATATAATCTTTTCCTCTCAGCTTCTGCCCTTTGAGCTGAATGCTAATAACAACTTCTGAGGGTCCTATCTCTCGATTGTTAGGCAGTTACCTGAAAGAAGCCTTATTTTAATTGAAACAGAATTCCCTTCCTCAATTGAACTTTCCTTGACTAGATCATATTAAAGGAAAATAAGTAAGCTCTACTGTTGTTCAGTCTAACTAACGTCTTAGAGGTTGGACTTTGTTTTTTAATGCTTCGCCCAAAATTGTAGGAATCCAGTATGTCATTTGCTAGAAGGTGGATAGCCCTGATATGTGTTTATGTAAAGAAGATAACATATTGGGCAGTAAATATTTTAAAACACTTCAGAAAAAAGATTCAATGACTCTGTAATGATAAAGACTTGCGTAAGTTTTCGGTGATCTTGGGATACACACAATAAAAATTATTAAATCTAAGTTCAATTAAAGAAATGTTTTTAAAAATTCTTATAAATAATTTGGAAGTGCATATCTAATAGTATGCTACAAATTTTTTATTATAAGTAAAAAATAATGTGGTGAAATAAAACCAAATGTAGTTAAACACATCAAAAGATAGAAAAGCAAGAGCTGACTCACAAGCGCCCGGCTAGCTCAGTCGGTAGAGCATGGGACTCTTAATCCCAGGGTCGTGGGTTCGAGCCCCACGTTGGGCGTAGTGCCACTTTTGGTGGTAAATTTAATTTTCCCTATACACTTTAAGGGTTCGCCAAAGCATTATAACTAAGGAGAGTTCTTTAAACCCAATTAATTTAAATACTTTCAACATTAACCAGATCCCTGAGAAAAAGATTTCATTTTGCAAACGACGCACGTCTCAAACTGCGCTTGCGCACTTGAAGGCAGAGGTTCCTCTTCCTTTCCGCGATCCCTCCGCAACCTCCTCCTAAAGCACAGGGGAAACCGAAAGACCACTGTTTCAAGTTGAGACTGGTTTTCTGTGTTACTATGCATACTTTATGAGCCCCAATTTTGGCAGCTTTTCTAAAGCTTAAAGAGATCCTATGCAAAAGCAGTTGGGGAGGTTGGAGGACTTCAAGAAAATGTCTTCGTTATTTTACATTTTCTTCCTCTCTCAATGTAGGGCCTGTCCTGGAGTGGGGAAGGGAGGGAATATCCCCTGGAGAAATATACAGTGAGAAATTATTCTTTCTGTGTTCAGATCTGTACAACCACTGCATACATCAGGTTTTCTTTCATTGCTCTTGGGACTATATTTGGGATCTATCCATCCAGTTGTATGGATATTAGGAAGTTAATATTCTTGGAAAGGTGAGGCCCTTTGAAACAAGCACGAAAGAACTGAGATATGAAAATTCGGATGGGCAATCAGGTATTGGTGGGAGGCAGGACTTCCGCCTTTTTCCCTCTTCACTGAGAACTTTGAAGTAATGAGAAAGAGAACGTCCACACACGGGACCACCACATCCAGGCACGTTCCAGTATCTCACTCAAGCGACTATGTAGGTGAACGATCGCTGCTCCTACCTGAAGCCAACCCACCGAAGCAGTACGTTGTTCCTATACCTCCGCGTGTCACCCACCAGCTCTCCTCCAATTTTCCTCTCCTCTTGATTGTTCCCTTCAACATATAAACATGCTGTTATGTGTCTATCTTAAAAACTTTGACCTGGTTTTCTTGCAGGCTACCATTCTATTTCTTTGTTCCCCTTTGGAGAAAGTCACACACTCCCGCCCCCAGTCGCCGACGCTCACCTTTCCGCTTCTCTCATCTCTAAACCCTGACAATGCCCTTCAGCCAAAAAAAACAAAAAAACAAAAACAATAACAAAAAAAAAAACAAAAAACACCGATAGGTGAACAAGTTCGGTTTGTTACTCATGGCAGCGAGGGAAAACTGCAGGATGATTCAGTAAGAGAGTGTTAGAACATATTATAGGAGCTAG